CCACATCCGGGACTCTGGATGCCCAATGACAATTGACTGGGGACAACAGGTGGAGTAATCACTTAATACCTGGTATGGCCCCACTCAGTAGCCCCATCCAGTCAACACCTGGGACTGTGCAGGTAGTGAGCATTGGTGCAGGACAGTGAGGTGATGCAAGAAGAAGGGGTGACCCCTCCCTCCACATCTCAGGATCTAGCTGGCCCCATCAGCTTTTCCTGATCTCTAGCTCCATAAAACCTTTGCCTGCCCCTCCCCCTCTCCCCCTCGGTGGTCTCCATCTCTGGTCTCCCTGAGCCCCTTATCCTTGGTCAAAGTTCTCTTTTCCCATTGTGAGTTCTTGTGGAAGACTTGTTACAGCTAGTTCAACGCTACCTTTGTTCTTAAGTGCCATGGAGTCCTTCCAACTCATAGCGACCCTATACAGGGTTTCTGAGGCTGTAAGTCTTTACGGGAGCAGAAAGCCTCATCTTTCTCCCGCGGAGCAGCTGGTATTTTCGAACTGCTGACCGTGAGATTGGCAGCCCCATTCGTAACCACTATGCTACCAGGGCTCTGACTCATAGAAAGCCCTAGAGAACCCTGTATAGGGTTTCCAAGGAGCAGTTGGTGAGTTTGAACTGCCAATCTTGTGGTTCAAACGACCCTCTGGTCCAATCCTTTATCCCACAGCACTACACCAGGACTGGTCCTTCTGATTCTTGGGCCCTGAACTTGTCATTCTGAAGCCCCTTCCACCTGGGACATGCCTAGATGCTGAGGGTGTGCGTATCCTTGCCCTTTACCGGTCACTACCCAGCTCTGGTAGCGTAGTGGTTACAAATCAGGCTGCGAACCTCAAAGTCAACAGTTTGAAACTACCTGCGGTTCTGCAGAAGAAAGATGAGGCTTTCTGCTCCTGTAAAGCCTTATAGCCTTAGAAACCCTGTGCAGGGTCGCTATGAGTCAGAACCCACTCCATGGCACACAACTGCCACAACCATTGCAGCTTGTACAGTGGGCTCTGCACCGCCAAGGCAAATCTTCCCAGCTTACTCCAGGGATGCTTTCACCCTCTGAAAGGTTCCCAACCTTACACAGTAGATCTTGGGCAGGTGGACCAGGAACCAGCCGTCTGGGAGGTGGCTTTAATTATATAAAAATAGCTTTCATCAATATGATAATAAATATGCCATACGCTTCTCCATGTGGTCTAGGATCTGTTTCCCCAAACCCTCTCCTCAGCCCCACCTTCCCCTCAAGTTTTCTTAGAACTTCTCTTCTGCAAAGGATTTTTTAGGGGCCTCTTGTCCATGCTCAGCACATCATTGCCTGGGTCCCTGTCCTTACAGTCACTCAAGAATTGACACTGCTTTAAAGACCCTCATTCATGCTGCATCACCTACCCCCAGAGCACCCCAGCCAGTGTTCCTCAGCCCCCTCTCTGTGTGGGCCCTTGGTCCTCCTTCCCCCACCTAACCTCTACCTTATCCCCACAGATGCCTGCGGCCTCTCAGACCCAGCACACGTGGAGAGCTTGCAGGAGAAGGCGCAGGTGGCCCTGACTGAGTATGTGCGGGCCCAGTACCCGGCCCAGCCTCAGCGCTTTGGGCGCCTGCTTCTGCGGCTGCCCGCCCTGCGTGCCGTCCCAGCCTCCCTCATTTCCCAGCTGTTCTTCATGCGCCTGGTGGGCAAGACGCCCATTGAGACACTGATCCGCGACATGCTGCTCTCGGGGAGTACTTTCAACTGGCCCTACGGCTCTGGCCAGTGACCTCCAGGGACATGGCTTCTTGGGTCAGCCAGGGGGGCTCAGGCTGAGGATGAGGACCCCAGCTCTTTCTAAGACTCCTCTTTTTTTAAAGACTGTGAAATGTTTGTCTTTTCTGTTTTTTAAATGATCATAAAACCAAAAAGAGACGGATCGTCCGGACTCCAGGCACGTTTTCTGGTCCCTTTGCAAAGATGGGGTGATAAGTGGAGGGTCCAATCCCTCAACAGCCTTGTCCCTCAGTGCCCAGGAGTGACCTTGTGGGACTGCAGGGTGGGGTAGAGACCTGGTGGCTAGACTAGGGGGCAACCCCAGCAGGGCAGGGGTGAGCAGGGGCCAGGTGGATTCTTTCCGATACATGATCCATGTCTTGACACTACATGAGGAATGAATCAAGGGGACACAGTAATAAAGACATTTCCTACCTGTGCAGCTGCTCTGTCTTTGAATGAGGGGCTGACTGGACACCTCCCTCCTACCCTGCTACCAACCTGAGCCATGGGGTACACCCACCATCTCAATTAGCTAACCAGACCCTATTGTGTGTGACTGGATGGGGACAGAAGCCAGAGGATCTGAGGTCAGCCAATGAGTACACAGATGTTGAATCTAGTCGCTGTCTTAGATTGGAATCCATGCCCTGACCTGACTGAAGGGGCTGAGCTTGGTCCAGATTCATTTCTTTAATAATTAAGAAACGGATGAAAATTCAGTTCTTTATCTTGGTATCTGGGCTCCATGATACTTATTAGAACCATCTCTGTCCTATGCAGTCCTGTGGATGGGGTCAGGCGCTAGGCCTGTCATCTGACCTCAGTCCTGGCAATCAACTCTCCATTCCCCAGGCCACAGTGATTGGTTTTGAGAAATCATGTGACCCAAAGGAAACCAATGAGACGATGGCAGGATGTAATCACAGGCAAAGTGTTAAGTGCTGTCAAGTAGATAGCGACCCTTTATAGGGTTTCCAAGGAGCAGCTGGTGAGCTCGAACCACCGACCTTGCAGTTCAAACGACTCTGCAGTCTGAGGCATTAGCTTACAGCGCCTCACCATGAGCAGACAGGCCAAGTAGAAGGGGGGAAAAAAAAAATTTCCCAGAATGCCTTTAGAGCTCCTTGTTCAAGCCATTCCTGAAACCTTGGGACATTTTAAGTTCCACAAAACCAAAGTTTCCCTTTTATGTCTAAGCTAGTGTGAGTTGGGGCAACTAATGAACCCTTGACAGTTTGAAATCTGGGGCAAGTGAAGTAATGCCCCAATACCTAGCTAGTGTGGTCCCACTCTGGGGGGTCAGGTCCATTGTCAGGACAGACTTAGATGGCATATAGGGTTGTACAGGACGTGAAGGACCCTGCCATTCTTGCTTCAGTAGTTTGAGCCCTGCTCTGGTGGGAAAGGGATGTGTGGGGTTGTATGGACAAGGTTGTGGCTGGGGTGGGGGTGGGGAGGGTGAGTAGAAAGGGCTTGAGTGGAAGCATCTCTCAGGCCCTTACTAAGAGGCCCATCCAGGTATCTGTCACCCTGGCAAATCAGTCCATTTTCTAGGCCACAGTGATTGGTTCAGAGGTCATGTGACCCAAAGGAGACCAATGAGACTTGATAGCAGGATATGTCACCTGGAAATACAATCCTAAGAAGACAGAAGAGAGGAAAACCAATTTCCCAGAATGCCTTTGGAGTTCATTGTTCAAGTTATATCTGAAGCCTTTGGATATTTAAATGCCACGAAACCAAACTTCCCCTCTTGTACCTTGTAAAAAGTCCTCCAAAATGTACCGTTTATACATACCCCAGTCTCGGAATTTTGAGATATGCCCAATCCAGGATCGGGGTCTCCAGAGTCACCTTGAGTCAACAGTAGGGCTGAGCAGCAATAGCTTATATAGCTCATTTCTCAGATTCACAATTCAGGACATCTGAGGACTGAGTGATGCCAGGGGGTCTGTCCTGCCATCTGGTTCCCCGGCCAGAGATTTGAATGTCCATGCGTGGCTACTGAACTCCTACAAAACCCCACCCATAGGGCCTTTCCTTCAGGAAGACCTCTCCAATCTCCAGACGCCCTAGTTGTTAAGACTTTGTCTCTTTCCCTCCATGACTCTCACAGGGTCCTGGGCCACCTTCCCCAGACTATGGCTCACAGGCTGAGTGTGGGGCTTCCCAGCATGGGGCCTCTGCAGTCTCTGCTTGCCAGTTGCCTCCCTGATTGCTCCAGTCCCTTGACTTCCCTGAGAAATGAAGACTCAGGGTGTCCAAGGTCACACAGCTCAGCAGGGAACCTGGTGCCACCCTGCTTACCCTACCCTAGGCCTGAGAGACCCGCCCCTAAGCCAGGCTTGTGAGTAGATTCCACACAGCTCTTGATGTCAGTCACAGTGCAACTTACAGGGTCCCCGGGTAAGTGAACCTCCAGAGACCCGTTTGTAATTGGGTCATGGACTTCTGTGCATCAGTGGGCTGAGTCTGCCACCCTCAGGCATTTCCCAGCATTGCACCCACATTTCTCCAGCAAAGGTTCCAGGGACCTCTGGCACTCTTGCTTCCTTTATTGAAATTACAGAAATTTATAGTCTTGGGAACTCCCCTCAAGTGTGGCCAAGGACGTTAAGCGAGATGTCATCCCTGAAATTTCCAACCAGAGGTCACCTGAGGCGCTTGAGGGCTGAGTCCTCTAGATAAATGAAGGCTTAAACTCTGGTATGGCACTGTAGGCTAATGCGTCAGACTGCAAAATTGTTTAAACTGCAAGGTCTGTGGTTCAAGCTCACCAGCTGCTCCTTGGAAACCCTATACAGGGTAGCTATGGGTTGGAATCGACTCTACAGCACTTAACAACAACAACAAAACTCTGCCTGAGAGACCCTGAAACCCTTTCTTAGAATTTCAGATTTGTTTTTTTTCTCTTGAAAGGGAAGAGAACAATTTCTAGGTGACAGTGAGATTAGTATTTAGCAGCTGCACACAGTGTTTATTTAATAATGTTTATTCCTTTGAAATGGAGAGCAGGACCTGCTTTTGGGAGACAGAGTTGAGCTCTGGAGTCCCCACAAGGTCAGGGTTGTGGGTCCCAGAGGAAGTCCTGGAGGAGGGGCCATCAGAGCTGAGCCACAAAGGATGGGGCATTTCCAATGAAAGGAAACCATTCCCCCCGGCAGAGGGAATAGCAAGAACAAAGCTCAGAGATAGAAAACTGGAGGAGCTGGAGAGAAGCAAGGGCAGTACATCTTTCTGTTTGTCTGCTGGCACGCTCAGAAATATACGGAGCCCTCACTGTCCTGTTGGTCATCATATTTCTGGATCTGGGCTTTGAGGTGCCTCAACTTGCCCTTCAGGTAGCGATAGCGAGCCTGCTTATCCAGAAATCTGGGGTCCTGTGTGGGGCAAGAACCAAGGAAGTCCTTATGGCAGTCTACCTACCCCTATAGTTCTTATGCTGTTTGAGGCTTTTCCTCTCTCAGCCTCGGTTTTCTCCCCACAAAAATACATAAATCAATACATAAATCAGGGGGCCCAAAAGTCAAGATGGGGGACCCAGAAGTCACAACTCACCATCTGCTTCTTTTCAAATTTCCTCCAGACGCGGGCAGCGACATGAGCCTCCTTCTATGAACCGAGGAAGAGGATACTCATGGGGGGAAACAGACTCAGTAAGACACAGTGACTGGCTTAGGGAGAACTTTGAGGGTCGGTGGTGTGGAGTTTGACCCCGTGTGTGGGGCTCACCCAGCCTGGAGAAGGAAGGGGTCCCAAGATCTGGTTGGGAAAGACGGCAGGGCACTGACCTGGCTGTGGGGCGGGGGTAGTGAGTTCAGCAGGGCTTGCAGCTGCTGTAGCTTTGCCTGTGTACAGCCCACCTGCTGCTGCAGCTCCAAGAACTCAGAGTACTGATCCTGGAACACAGCTGCGTAGCGGTTCCGCTCCCTCTCACTGCGCACTGGTGGGTACTTACTGCCAGGGTGAGGAGGGGCAGTGTGAGCTGAACGGAAACATCCCTCTGTCCTCCCCCCAATCCAGGCAGTTTGTTTCTCCATCTAGTCTTCATGCCTTTGCCAGTTCTGCTAAACTCCCTACCTACAATGTTCTTTTTCCCTTTTGACTACTTGGTAAATTCCTATTCCCTTGTCAAAGCCCCAGCCCAGTTCCCAAGCATCATGGGGGACACGCACAGCTCATAGTCGGGCACTGGGTGGGGCCTGGTCTTAGGTCCCCCAGCAGTGGCTCCAACAGGTCTCTTAGTGCCCAGGATAGCCTGAGGGGGTAGTTCGTCCTCAAACACAATCTTCTTGGGCCTTGCCCTGTGCGTTCCAGACTGGGGTTGGCACAGACTGGATGGCGAGCTGGTTTCCAGGCCTCGGGGGTCCAGTCGCTGTAGACGCTGTAGGAATCATGGTTTGGGATTAACCAGGCGGATAGGAGGAGGAGGTTGTAGGAAATCCCTTAACCCTGGGGGCTCCCATTTAGACTCACTGGAGGCCCAGGGCCAGGTGGGCGGAGCTGGGGGCGTCCCCCGGAGCTGTGAGTCTGGGGAGTCTCTCGGGTGGGCATGGCCCTCTGGCAGGCACCGCTCGGGGGTCCCCGGGGCGGCGCGCGAGTCCTTAGAGTGGTGTCGTGGGCCGCGCGTGGCGGGGGTGGTCGGTGAGAGGCCTGTGGGCACGGTATGACGGTGAGCCTAGAAGCTTGTCACCGCCAGAGGAGGTACGGGGAGCGGCTCTGGTGCCCCCAACTCTAAGTCCTAGCCTTCTCCAGACCCGCTCTATTTGCATAGACGCACACGATTGGCCCCAAGAGCAACTCAGACCCCGCCCTTGATTGAGTTAACGGAACAATCTTATGCAAATTAGCCTAACGTCACCACGTAGCTGGGTCGGTATCGGCTTAACTCGCGCAATGCCGGAGCCTCGCAGCTATAGTACGCGGATCCCCAGGTCACCGCCCCCAGGAAGTTCCCCGGGACGCTCTCCCCGGTTGCAGGCCTCACGGGCCTCTCCCGCCCAGGGTCACCTGTCCCAGCGTTTGGAGATCCGAGTCCGGGTCGGCTCCAGGAGAGAAAGCCTGGCCGTTCCGGTTGTACAGTAAGTAGAGGTTCCACTCGGTTGTTGTTGCTCAACGAGGGGATGGGGGCGTGGATTGAACGGGGCGCGGCCTCATCAGAATAGGTGTGGCCTGATATGACTGGCTGAGGTTTGGATGGTCTCCCTCCACACACACTTAAGCATACTTGAGACGCAAATTCCTGTACGATTTTTATTCAGACATACTATGCGTCGGAGTTAGTGACTTACCTTCTCTGATCCTTAGTGTATTTGTTGGAAAACGGAGTATTTTAATCGAATTTGCACTCATTTATTCGCCAGTACTTTAAAAATGATCAATGGAGACAGTCCATGACTGCAGTTAACTGTCTACTTTCGGAGAGACTCTAATTCAATGGCAATATATTATTTTTTCTCAATGCACACAGTGCTGCAGAAAATTTCCGTGTGCAAATTTATTTGGGCGTACGAGGGAGGTTATCTGTTGGAAAATTTTCTACAAGTGCAATTACTGAAGAGATATCACCAAATTGTTCCTCAACCAAACTGCACCATTGTTACTCCCGCCAGCAGCGAGAAAAACGCTGATTTTCCCACAACCTTGGCAAGGCGGGTGTTCTTACAGATTCCTCTCAAATGTATGTTCAGACTTTAAATCCCTGCTAGCCGCTCAGCAGGAAAAAGATGATGGTCTGCTCCCGCCAAGAATTAAAGCCTTAGAAACCCTATACATGGTTGCTAGGAGTCGGAACCAACTCAAAGGCATTTAATAATCTGAGTAACAAAGTTTAAAATTTTTTGTGTGTCTCTTTTTTTGTTTATATCCTGCCAATCGTTTTGTTGTTGTTGTTAAATGCCTTCGAGTTGGTTCTGATTCATAGCATAGGGTTTCCAAGGAGCAGCTGATAGGTTTGAACTGCCGATCTTGTGGTTTGCTGTCCTGTGCTGATCCTACAGCACCACATCAGGAGTCCTATTAATTTTTAGGAGATCTTCATATAGCAAAGACATTAGTTTGACCAGACAGCGTATCTTTTGTTTTGCTATTATGAGATCTCCCAATATATTTTGCAGGGTTTATTTTTTCATATAACAAATAATTATTTTAAAATCTCCATTATATTCCTTGCTAAATTATGGAATTCTCTTATTGAAATAGCTTTTTAATCAATTTGTTTTTTGTGTTTTTTTTAAGTTCATTTCTTTTTCTTTACCAATTGCATTATCTAGTACCTCCAGAACCATCTGAAATCATGAGGATGGGGGACAATGGGCAGAAGAACTTCGGTATTAAGTCAATGCTGCCTTTGGTTTGAGATTTTTCTGTTAAGTGAGGAAAATGTCTGTCCTTTATTTCCACCACTCATCTGTCAGTTTGTTGTACTATGGTGGCTTGCATGTCGCTGTGATTCTGGTAGTTATGGCATCAGAACTTTAAATGCCAGCAGGGTCACCCACAGTGGACAGGTTTCAGCTGAACTTCCAGACGAAGACACACTAAGAAGAAGGAGAGACGGAGTACTTCCAAATACTTAGTCACTGAAAACTGTATGAATAGCAGGGGAACACTGTCAGATAGCACCAGAATATTCAATATTGAAACATGATGATGAGCAACAGAATATTGTCAGATGTAGTACAAAAGAATGAGCCCCTCAGGTTGGAAGGCACTCAAAGTATGACTGGGGATGAGCTGTCTCCTCAGAGTTCACCAGGATGACTATTATTGAGTAAAGCCTTCAGGACATTCATTTGCTCATGGGTCAGTTACAACTCAAAATGAGGAGAAACAGCTGCAAACATCCATTAATAATTGGCACACAAAATGTACAAAGTATGAATCTAGGATAATTGAAAGTTGTCAAAATGAAATGGAATGCATTAACAGAGATATACTAGGAATTACTGAGCTGAAATGGACTGGTATTGTTGCTGTTAAGTGCTGTCAAGTTGGTTCCGACCCATAGCGACTCTGTATAGGGTTTCCGAGGAGCAGCTGGTGAGCTTGAAGCACTGACCTTGCAGTTCAAAGTGACTTTGCAATCCAGCACATTAACCCACGGCACCACACCAGGACTTCAGGACTGGTATTAGTCATGTTGAATCTGACAATCACAAGGTTTACTATGCCGGGGATGACAAATTGAAGAGGAATGGCGTCACTTTCTTCATCAAAAAGAACATTTCACGCTCTATCTGGAAGTATAGTGCTGTTTGTGATAGGATACTATCCATACACCTATAAGGAGGTCCAGTTAATACAACTATTACTCCAATTTATGTACCAACTACTAAAGCCAAAGATAATGAAACTGAGGAATTCTACCAACTTCTTGAGTCTAAAAATGATCAAACTTGCATTCAAGGTTTATTGATAATAACAGATGATGGATTGCCTCTCAATGTAAAGAAAATAAAAATTCTCACCACTGGACCAATAAACAACATTCTGATCAATGGAG